CAAAAAGTAGTTAACTAGTAAAATGTTTATCAGGATATCAGCAACATTTTACTAGTTAGCCACTTTTTGATATCTTTCACAGAAAATGAGATATATAGGCTCAAAGTGGACGATCCGGGTGTCGTTCTATTAGAGGTTTTACGGTATCAAAGATGTTTTAACTGACCAAACACTTATAGTATTATGATAAGTAGTTCATCAGTTAGAAAATTTTTGAATGTTCAAGAGGAACCGAGAAAATTGGTTCAAAGTTTAACGTTAGGGAGCCCTTCTATTGCAGGTTTTTCGGTAGTTCAATTTTTGTAAAATTTCAGATTTCCAGAATTTTCTTTTTTTTTGGAAACGTGTAGAAAATGCTCGAAACCCTTCTTGAGAGTTGATGGATAGTTTTCGGTTTTGGATGGAAAATTTTTAATGTTTCATGATTACCAGAATTTGGCCTAGAGAATGCTTAAGATAGTCGGTTTTCATTCTGGAAAGCTTTCTATGAAGTATTTTAAAATTCCTAAACGTGGACCTTTCAAATCTTTTTGAATATTTAAGCTTCATGAGGATTCGAACCTGTGGGCAAACTTTTGGAGATGATGCGCCACTGAGCTGCGCGGTACGCCGGTGGCCTATGGTGTAAAGAGTTTTATATTTTAGAAAAATCGAGGCCACTTTTAGATATTTCACGAGTATAAGCTTCTCAATGTTTCATAAACTGCATAACATTCGTTTTTTTATTATAGTATTGCGAGAATTAAACAATCAATTATTTGAGCTATAATTACCACAAGAAATCCAAAAAATAGAATTATCCTACTAGCAGAGAATACTGTAAAGAATTACACAGACCACATTGAAAAGATCTGTGTCAAATTGCAAAAAAACCATTATAAAACACAAAAGAAAGCATTTTTAGAGAGCCAGAAAATCAAACAGTAATAAAAATTTGAGTTTAGTGCAAACCTCGATTACGGTCGGCTGTCTTTTATACTAAAGTCTTTCGTGGGGAAATAAAAATGAGTGTGTTGCATTTCGTGTGTTGCATTTCAGTGCCTAATAAAATCGGGCCATTAAACTAATCTTTTTGATTCTGGCTCCAATCGAAAAATGATGTCAAATAATTGGTTTCGATTAGAAAGAAATCATGAAAAGAGTAATTTTTGAACGTAAAGTGTCGTCATAAATAGATCGAAAACGGGAAAAGAGATTGCGATATGTAGGTTTGTGTAGTTATGAAAGTTTTCGGTTACAGGATTCCCATTTTATGAGCTGACTCATTTTTAAAGTGATGCGTTTATAAAAAAAAGTCCAAATAAAATAACTGAACTTTCCAGTCTTTCTTTGAACTAACGAACTTTCTGAAACAATGTTTTCTTCTAGGAATTTCAGAATATTAAAAGTCGAGATTTCTAAAAATGACTGTCTAAAAAACGATTTTTCAGCTCACGACGCCAGAAAAAGTCTTGTTTACTCATTTTCATAATACCTGAAAATCTTGATTTTCCGTTCTGTGAATTTTCAAATTTTCGTTATATCGGATTCTCGGTTACAGGATTCCTATTTTTGAAGTGACTAAATTTGTTAGATCGATTCTGGTTTCGTAATGTTAATGCAAACTTTCACATTGCCATTTCGAAAGAAAAAAAAATAAAACCTGAAAACAAGATAACGATATTGAAGGTCTTCCTGGGAGAACCCGATTAACCGTTCAGTACTACTTCGAAGTTCACAACTTTCTGAAACACAATTTGTTGGAATGTCAGAAACCCTAGTTTTTTTTCTAGAAATTTCAGTAAACTTTTTCAGCAAAAGAATCATGGGTTTTTCGTATTTCTGGGAAATTTGGAAACTTCGAAGTTTTCAGAATATAGAATTTTCGGTTACAAGATTCCCATATTTAGAGGGGACTAATTTTCAAAGATGTTCTCTTTTTTATTCTGCATGTCGTGTGAATAATGCCAATTTTAATATTTAACATACTTGTAAATTCCGGGCCGGCCCGCCAAAGTCCGGGCCCGGGCCTGAGAAAATTTTCAAAGCTCGGAAGACCCGGTCTCAAAAATTTTGTCATTTTGAGCCAAATTTTGAGCTCTCAATACAATTTTCTCCATTTTTTTTTTGTTTTTTTTTTGGATTGTTTCTCTGTTTGATCAAAAAAGATCGAAAAAACTCGAAAAATAATTTTTGATCGAAAAAAAATCACATAAGGGTACATGAGGGCCTTATGTGTGTTTTATGAAAATTTCAAAACGTGAAATGACGGGACCGCACCGGGCCGGGCCGGGCCTCCGAAATTTGCTAAAAAGCCCGGACCGGCCCGGGCCGGCCCGTTACAAGTATGATATTTAACGTAATTTTGAAAAAACCAGAAAAAACTCTGAAAACATGAAACGTTAGCGGAAATCGAGCAAAAACGAAAAAGCCTGTTTCGTCTCTTTTAGTATTTTCATGCCCTTAATAATTTCCTGAAACACGATTTTTTTTTGAAATTTCTGAAGAAAGAACTATTTTTTCTAGGAATTTCGGTAAATGAAAAATCGAGATTTCTAAAAATGACCGAGTTACTTTTTTAAGCGAAATCTCAAGGGATAGGTTTTTCTTGTGCTTTTCTAATACAGTACTTATTTTCATCACATTTGAAGGTATTGATTTTCCATTCCGTAATCTTTCGAAATTTCGCAATTTTCAGAATATCGAGTTCTCGGTTACAGGATTCTCATTTTTCGAAGTGACTAATTTTCAGTGCGGTAGTCTTTCTTCTTTTCCCGCTTCCAAGCTTAATCCACCGAATGAAAATTTTAGTATTTGCTTAAAATTCACAACTTTCAGAAACACAATTTTCCGGAATTTCAGAAAATGAAAAGTCTGAATTTCTAAAAATGACTGAAATTATTTATCAGCTCACGACCTAAATGAAATGTTTTTGTGTGCGTCTGAAATACAGAAATTATTCTCCTCTTATTTGGAAACCTTGAGTTTCCATTAAACCATTAAAATTTCAAGGGTTTCGTAGTATTGCATTTCCCTGAAGTGTCAAATTCATTTTTTGCAGGATTTTCTGATTTCCAAATTTTTATTTTCTAATCTTTCCTGTTTTCTGGACTTTATAAAAGTTCATTTTTA